ACCTGTGTACACACACGCAAACACACATATGCAAATGAATACAAAATAAACAAACTGAAGTCTCTCTTTACTTAAGGGAATGAGGCTGTGACCCCCGGGACAAAACTTTCTTAGAGCAGTCAGACACAGTGGGGCTTTGGAGGTGGTTCCCTCAGGAAACCGCTTGCCACAAACATGAGGACCCGAGTTCCGATCACCAGCACCCATGTCTCAAAAAGCACCTCGTGCCTGTGATTGCAGGTGGACAGGAGGATCGTGGGCTAGCCAGCCTCACAGAGTCAGTGAGGTCCAGGTTAAGTGAGATTCCCTGTCTCAAAAAATAAGGGAAAGGGGGGCTGGAGAGATGGCTCAGCGGTTAAGGGCACTGACTGCTTTTCCAGAGGACCTGGGTTCATTTCCCAGCACCCACATGGCAGCTCACAACTGTCTGAAACTCTAGTTCCAGAGGATCTGATACCTTCACACCAATGCACATAAAATAAAGTTAAATGAATTATTTTAAAAATTACTTAAAAAAGCAATTATTTAAAAAAAAATTAGGGAAAGGGCCAGCAAGATGGCTCAGTGGGTAATGGGGTTTGCTACCAAAACCCGATTTTAATCCTCGGCAGAATGAGAGGACTAATCCGGGCAAGTTGTCCTCTGACCTCCATATGTAGCCATACATACACACACCCACCCACAACCACGTGAACACAAAATCCATAAAACATAGAACGGACAGTGATTGAGGAAAACAGAGTTAACCTCTAACCTCACACATACATGTCCCTGCACGCACGCACGCATGCGCGTGCACGCACACACAGAAATGCCAACCATGGTGTTACACACCTGTAACCCCAGGACTTGGAAAAGACAATCAGGCTAGCTTCCAGTATGCAGCAAGTTTGAGGCTAGCCCGTGCTACATGAGCTCCTGTCTTGAAATAACAACAAAACCTCCCAACAACGGGCATCCAAGGGGGTCCTCTTTCAATTCTGTGTCCCTTCCGTGACAGCTGGGTTCAAAAACCCATGCCTACTACTTCAGCTTATAAAGAGACTTGACCTTAGTGGCTTAGTGGGAGTATGTAAAGTCTGGCCAGCTGACGAGAGAGAGAGAGAGAGAGAGAGAGAGAGAGAGAGAGAGAGAGAGAGAGAGAGAGAGAGAGAGAGAGAGACAGACAGACAGACAGACAGACAGACAGACAGACAGACTGAGAGAGAGACAGAGACAGAGACAGAGGCAGAGAGAGAGACAGACAGAGAGAGACAGAGACAGAGAGGCAGAGAGAGAGAGACAGTCAGAGGCAGAGAGAGACAGAGAGACAGAGACAGAGAGAGAGAGACAGAGACACAGAGAGGGACAGAGACAGAGACAGACATAAACAGAGAGAAATACAGAGGAGAGCCAGTTCCATGGAAGGCAAGGCCCAGACAATTGTATGGGCTCCAGAAGTCAGATAGTATTTAGACTTTGAACTGAGCAAAAGGTGTGGAGGTGTTGGCACAACTGTAATTATGCTTTAGAGAAACAGCCCTGGGAGCAGGGTAAAACGACTTTGCAGAAGACGTGTGCCCCTCAGGCACACAGTAAGTGCTTAATCAATGCAGGGACAAAGCACACAGTGGTGCATACCTGTCATCCAGAACTCTACAAGAGGAGGCAGAAAGACCAGCCTGGGCTACATAGTGACTTTGAGGCTAGCCTGAACCACATGAGACCTTGTGTTAAAAAAAAAGAATAACAAAAAGTAAAACCCAGGCCGGGCGTTGGTGGCACACGCCTTTAATCCCAGCACTCGGGAGGCAGAGGCAGGCGGATCTCTGCGAGTTCGAGGCCAGGCTGGACCGACAGCCTCCAAAACAGAGAAACCCTGTCTCGTAAAACCAAAAAAAAAAAAAAAAAAAGTAAAACCCAAAGGCAGAGCTGGTGCTGTGGTTCATTTGGTGAGGTGCCAGCCTAACACGTATGGACCCTGAGTCTATCCCCAACACCATATAAACCTGGAGGGGTGGTGCACCCGTCACCCCAGCTACTGGGAAATGCAGGAAGGAGGAGCAAAAGTTCAAAGCCAGGGCTACATAAATCCAAGACTCTGTCTCCAAGAAACAAAGCAGGGGCTGAAGAGATGGCTAAGGGGTTGGGAGCATTTACTGCTGTTTCAGAGAACCCAGGTTCAGTCCCAGCACCCAGAGCCGGCAGCTTACAAGAGTCTGTAACTCCAGCTCCAGGGGGTCTCATACCCTATCCTGATCTCCGTGCTGTACCTGCACACACATGGCACACAATCCCATAAATAAAAACAAAGATACATCCTTAAAACAACGCAAAAACCAACAAACGAATGCATGTGCATACAAAGGGCAGAACCACTGGGCATGGTGGTGCACACCTTCAGTCCCAGCATTCAGCAAGCAGAGGCAGGCAGACATTTCTGAGTTCAAGGCCAGCCTGGGCTACACAGTGAGAGCCAGACTCAAAAGGGGATGGGGGGTGCAGAACCAAATATTCCTGGGTGAGAGTAAGCACTTAATATGTGTTTTTTAAAAAACCTGCATGAAGCCGGGCGTTGGTGGCACACACCTTTAATCCCAGCACTCGGGAGGCAGAGGCAGGGGATCTCTGTGAGTTCGAGCCCAGCCTGGTCTACAGAGTGAATGCCAGGACAGGCTCCAAAGCTACACAAAGAAACCCTGTCTTGAAAAAAACAAAACAAACAAACAAACAAAAACCCCACAAAACCAAACAAACAAAAAACCTGTATGAAGGCTTAAATTCTCCCAAGAGCTGCTTGCTGGGTGGTAAGGGCAGGAGAGCCCCCTCTCTGACGAAGTTGTGCAGTTGCAGGGCCAGAGAGGGGACTGGAAATCAGGGTCCGTCCTCCGGGTGGGAACAAGGAAGACTTAGGGAGGAGAGGATTTTACAAGGCTTTGCCATCGAGGAAGGAAAGCAGGAAGCTGGATGAAAGGAGGTAGAAAAGAGCAGGCCCTGGGGCGGCTCTGAAAGACAGTCAGAGCAGGGGAGAAGTCTCCTCCTGCCCCAGGCTGAGGGTCACTTCCTGTAGCAACAGAGCTACAACTGGGAATGTAGCTCAGTGGTGGAGCTCCTATCTATAATCCCAGAGAGCATGGCTCAACTGTAGAGCACCTACCTAGAATCCCCCAGTGAGGGGCTGGGGTGTGGCTCAGTGGTAGAGCCCCTGCCTAGAATCCCCCAGTGAGGGGCTAAGGGCATGGTTCAGCCAGAGAGTACATGAGGTCCTAGGTTCAATTCCCCAGGCCCCAAATATACAAATAAATAAAAGCACAAAAAACCTCTGTCCTAGGGTACATGATTCTCTCAGAAGTCCTAAGAGGCAAATGCCCTGAGTGCTCCCATTTTACTGATGGGGGAATGGAGACAGAGAGGTACACCACCTTGTCTAGAGCCACATAGCTATGTAAGTAGCAGAGCAAAGATTTGAACCCATGATGTTAAACTCCAGCATCTGAACTCTCAGTCACCCAGTGCACAGCAGCCGCTGCTCTTCAGGATGTGTCTCTGGCTGATAATTTGGGCACTGCTGAGACGCACGTGTCCTGTGCTGAGTGGGCACCTACTGTATGCAGGAAGACAATTGGCCAACAGGCTCTGCCTCGAACTTCACGCCCCAGTAACCTAAATCTCTCTCTGACCATCTAAGCCGGAATGCCTTCTGTCTGCAAGCTTTGTGGGAGCCATCTCCTACGTAAACAGCACCCTTGGGTAGGGCACTGGGCTCAACCACCCTTCGGGGTCTGTCCCACCCTCCAGCTGTGCCACATCTGTGCCCCCCAGCTTCTCCACCTTCGAGGCATCAGGCTGAGCTGGGCTGTGCAGGGCAGCTCCGGTTCTTCGTACCTGCCAGCCCCTGGTGGTGCCAATCCAGGTGACTGCCCTTATGAATGAAGGGCTCATTGTTTACATTTACAACTGATGGGGAGGAGACCTCCGGCCGGCTGGCTGGCTCGCAGCAGAGGTAAGGTGGCCCCACGTGGTGCTCTCTACCTCCTCCTCAGGGCGCAGACCTAGGTCTGCCGCACCCCCACCATCCGCTATCTGGGCACCTTTCAAGATTAAGGACGATTCTTTCCCTAGTTCTGCCAACCCCCGACCCCGCCCGTCATTTGTAGCCCAGAAGGCAGGAGTGGGATCTCAGAGACTGGGTGCATTCCTGTGTTGTGACTTCTCTACCCCCTACGGTGTCCCTATGCAACGACCTTTCCAGGCTTGGGCCATGCTGTAGAGGAGGCACGCGTGGCAAAGCCCTGTGTGCCCGGGACAAACACACAGGCCCCGCCTGAAGAGTCCACGCGGGCTAGCCCTGGAGGCTCAGCCCTGCATGCTGCAACGCCACTGCCCCTCCCTGGGGGGAGGGAAAAAAATCTGCTGCCTCACCAGCCAGCAGCGCCAGCTTGGGGGGGCACCCCTGCGGAAAGCCACCCTGGGCATCCCCCTTACCCTACCCTCTTATTTAAAGCCAGACTCTCCAATCAAGTTTTGCTAAGGGCACGAATCAGGCGACCCCAGGTGGCGGGGCGGGCGGGGGGGGGCTCCGTGTCTCATCCCAGATGCCAGGTCTGGAGATAAGGACTGATGGCCGCGCCCACCAGGCTGTGCCCCCCCACCCCAAGCCTGAGAGCCTCTCCCAAGAGCTCTCGGCAGCTGGTCCAGCTGTCTGAACCTGCTCCTGGAAAGAGGACCCCAACAAATACACCGAACCCCAGCCTAAGGAAGTGCGCACCACCCGGGCGTGCAATCCAGGGACGCCCCCCAAACCCAGCAGCGCGCCCTCCGGGTTGAGGAAGTTGGGGTTCATCCCGCCCACGCCCACCAACGGCGGCCCCTGCCCGCTGTCCCTGCCCACGCAGCGACAATGCCTCGGTGATAGTAGCCCCCCTTTTCATCCCAGGCTAGGGTGCCGCCGCCCCCCGCGACTCTGCGTCCTTTGTTGCCCGCGCGCCCCCAATCGCGCGCGTCCCCAGAGCTGCGCCTACCTCGGAGCTCCAGCAGCGACCAGGACCCGACAGCCCTTCGCCTCGTCTGGGTCCGCGCGTCCCGGAAACAAGGATGCTGCGCCCTTCCCCGCACGCCGCTACTCAAAAAACCGGGTCTCCGCGCTCCGAGTCCGGGCCTCGCACACGATCTACGGCCAGAAGAGGATAGAGGGAGGGGCCGATCCAGTAAGCCGGGCTTCTGCCTGCGCGCCCCGAGGCGGAGCCGAGCCGAGTCGAGCCGAGCGGAGCCGAGCCGAGCCAGGAGGAGCCGAGTCGACAAGAGCCGAGCCGAACGGGGCGGAGGCGAAAGGAGCGGAGCGGAGCGGAGCCGAGCCCCGTGGAGCCCTGCCAAGGCGAGCCGAGCGCAGCCGAGAGAAGCCGAGCGCCAGGAGAGCTCAGCGGCTGGAGGGCGAACAAAAGGGGCCGGCGTAGCGGCCGGCGCAGGAAGGTGGGGCCCCGAGCGACGCCGGGGAAAGACGGTGGGGGTGGGGGGTGGGGGGTGGGGGTGGGGGAGTGGCGTTGGGGGCGGTCCCAGCAGTCGTGGTCTCACGGTTCTCTGGCATCCGTGACGCTCAGAAACTGGGGAGCGGGCGGGCGGAGAAGTCTTTGGAACCTCGTCTTCCCCATCTTGACCACCTACAGCTGACTTGGACCTGGGAAACAGAGTTCATCCACCAACGCTTCAGCTCTGGACGTATGTGTGTGTTCCATTTTCTGTTTCGGCCATGCATGACTTATGCGAAATGTTCCGTATTAGGAGACAGAGGAGCTTGAGAATGCAAGAGGGCGGGGCTGGGATCTGGAAGGCTTCACGGAAGAGTTGGCTTAGGGACTGTGTTGAAAGAGGCCAGGAGGGGGGGATAATGCAACTGAAGTGAGACTTCAGGTGTGTCTCCTGAAGGCACTCCAGTACCACCTGGCACTCGGCAGGCTGATTGGGCGGGCGAGGAGGGGGGGAACGGGGGCGGCGGGGGCCTTGCTAACTGAACTGCTTAGTGAGACCCTGTCTCACAACAAAAAACTCTTAAGATCTCACTCAGCCTGGTGTGGTGGTACTTTAACTTCTTGACCTCCGTTTCCTATCTTTAAAGGAGGCAGGGTGCTCCAACTCAGCAGAACAAGACTGGTCCTGTAATGATGCCAGCACTGGGCCAGCCCTGCGGCAGCCAAGTGTAGGGAAAAGGGGCCAGTCAAAGAAACACACCCTGAGCAGAGCCAAAGAAACACACTTTGGCCCTGCAACCAGAACCAAAGAAATGTACCCTGACCCTGAAACCAGTGCCAAAGGAACACACTTTGTCCCTGGAATCAGAGTCAGTGAAAGAAATGTACCCTGGCCCTAAAATTGGAGGCAAAAGGCTAAAAAGGACCAGAGAAAGAAACACACTTTGACCAGAGCCAAATCTGCCCCTAATCCTGTGTAAAAAGGTAACCAATCCCGGAGCAGAGCTCTAGCCAATCTGAGCTCAGCACTGAAATCAGACCAATCCCTACTCTGGAAAAACTTCCCCAATCCCTATATAAACCCTGTGTATGGGCTGGAGAGATGGCTCAGAGGTTAAAAGCACTGGCTGCTCTTCCAGAGGTCCTGAGTTCAATTCCCAGCGACCACATGGTGGCTCACAGCCGGTTATCTGTAGTGAGATCTGGCACACTCTTCTGACCTGCAGAGATACATGCAGATAGAGCACTGTACACATAATAAAATCTTAAAATAAAAAAAAAAACCCTGTGTATGTTCAGCTTGGCTGGTCCAGCTGTCTTCCAATAAACCCCTTTGGATGAGCTTCGGGTGAAGATCTTCTTTTGCGGCGGCGACAGAGCAAAGGCGACCCTGGGCAGAGCAGAGCAGAGCGAGCAGAGGCGACCCTGGGCAGAGCAGAGCAGAGCAGAGCGAGCAGCGCTATAACACTTGCTGGGAAACCTTCCTTGGCAGAGCGGAGTTGTTACACTCTGCTCCGGGCTCCCTGCTCTCCACTCTCCAGGAGCAGAGCTGAACTGTAGCAACTTCGCCCGAGAAACCTCCTGCCTATCAAAACTGCTACACTAGGCGAACATCCCCAGCTGGAAGACCCTGTCCTGCCGGAGCGGAGCTGATACACCGGAGAAGCCTTTCTCTGAGGCAAGGCTGTAAGCTGCCAAGCTTACTGCAACCTGTGGTGGTCCTTGGCTTCCGAGCTCCAGGATACCTTTCTACCTGAGCTGTGTAACACTCAGTATCCTTGGCTCCCGAGCTCCAGGATACCTTTCCACCTGAGCTGTGTAACACTGAGTATTCTGTGACTCCCGAGTGCCAGAATACCTGACCCACTCCTGTTCCTGACCCATCCCGACGAAACGCTTACATTAAGTGCTCAGGTGAAAAGGAGCTAACCCCTCGTGACTGGAGGGGATACAAGGTGGAGAGATGGGTGTTTAAGAAAGAGCAAGTTGTATGTCGCTAGGTGGACTGCTGCCTTGTTGAAATAGGACCCATTGCCAGGCGTTGGTGGCGCACGCCTTTAATCCCAACACTTGGGAGGCAGAGGCAGGCGGATCTCTGTGAGTTCGAGACCAGCCTGGTCTACAAGAGCTAGTTCCAGGACAGCCTCCAAAACCACAGAGAAACCCTGCCTCGGAAAAAAAAAACAAGCAAACAAACAAAAAATAAGACCCAAATCTTGGCAGAGTGGAAAGAATCTACCCCCTGAGTTGGGTTCTGGCTCATCGGTAGAGTACCTGCCTAGAATCCCCCAGTGAGGGGCTGGGGTGTGACTCTGGTAGAGCACCTGCCTAGAATCCCCAGTGAGGGGCTGGGGTGTGAGCTCAGTGGTAGAGCACCTGCCTAGAATCCCCAGTGAGGGGCTGGGGTGTGACTCTGGTAGAGCACCTGCCTAGAATCCCCAGTGAGGGGCTGGGGTGTGAGCTCAGTGGTAGAGCACCTGCCTAGAATCCCCAGTGAGGGGCTGGGGTGTGACTCTGGTAGAGCATTTACTTATCATTAATAAGGCTCTTGGGTCCTGTAGGGAAAAGGGGCCAGTCAAAGAAACACACCCTGAGCAGAGCCAAAGAAACACACTTTAGCCCTGCAACTAGAACTAAAGAAATGTACCCTGACCCTGAAACCAGTGTCAAAGAACACACTTTGTCCCTGGAATCAGAGTCAGTGAAAGAAATGCACCCTGGCTCTAAAATTGGAGCCAAAAGGCTAAAAAAGACCAGAGAAAGAAACACACTTTGACCAGAGTCAAATCTAACCCTAATCCTGTGTAGAAAACTAACCAATCTTCGAGCAGAGCTCTAGCCAATCTGAGCTCAGCACTAAAATCTGACCAATCCCCACCCTGGAAGCCCTATATAAACCCTGGCAGCTTGTGTCTGTGTTCAGTTTGTGGCTGTTCTTGCTACCAGCCGGCTGTCTTCTGCCACTCTGCTGGATTCTTCCTCCATAAAAATCCCTTGGATGAGCTCTGGGTGAAGATCTTCTTTTGCTGCAGTGGCGACTACGACATAGCAGAGGCGACCCTGGGCAGAGCAGAGGGAGCAGGACTGTAACACTTTTGCAGGTGAAACCTTCCCGGAGCAGAGCTGAACTGTAGCAACTTCGCCCCAGAAACCTCCTGCCGAGCAAAACTGCTACACTGGGCGAATATACCCAGCTGGAAGACCCTGTCTTGCCGGAGCTGAGCAGATACACTGAGGAAGCCTTTCCCTGAGGCAAGGTTGTAAACTGCTAAGCTTACTGCAACCTGTGGTGGTCCTTGGCTCCCGAGCTCCAGGATACCTTTCCACCTGAGCTGTGTAACACTGAGTATTCTGTGACTCCCAAGTGCCAAAATACCTGACCCATCCCTATCCGCCCGAAATGCCTACAGTTCCATCTCCACCAACAGAAAAAAACAATTAGCTGGACATGGTAGCACCTGTCTTTCATCTCAAACTTGAAACACTGAGACAGATCTGTATTAGTCCAAAGTCAGCCTGGTCTACATAGAGAGTTCCAGGACAGTCAGGGCTACGTAGTGAGACCCTGTCTCAAAAAGAAGGAAAATTAATACCACCTCTCAGATAACATGGTTAAAGAGCACATGCCACTCTTGCAGAGGACCTGAGTTCAGTTCCCAGCACCCACATTAGGCAGCTCACAAATGCCTGTAACTCACATACACACGCACACATCTGCACACATACAATTAAACATAAGAAAAAAGAAACGGGAGCTGGGGATGTAGTTCATGGCCTCGGTAGATTGTTCAATTTACACACAGAGCCCTAAATTCAATCCTCAACACAGCATAAAACTGTGACATAAAACCTGTAATCCCAGTAGTGGGGGGTGGAAGAAGAAAGATCATGAGTTCAAGGCCAGCTTTGGCTACATAACAAGTTGGAGGAATAGCCCAGGCTACATGAGACCCTTCTCAAGAGGGAAAGGGACAGGGATTTGTTCAGTCCCAAGTCCCCATGTGAGGCACCTGAGCACCCTGTTAATGCCCTCAGAAGGTAGACAGAAGAAACCCCCAAAGGGCATGCCCCCAGGTGGACCCACTTGGAGAACCTGCTGGCTGAACACCTATCTGCCTCAGGCTATCCCAGTCAGCTGCAAAGAGCCACCTGGCAGCTCCTGGGCGGTGTCTCAAAGGGCAGCTGACTTGTGAGATATACACCCTTGGCCCTGGCCAGCGGGTTTTAGGTGAGAGAAAGGCAGACCCTTCCATTACTGGAGGATTTCTGGCCGGTACTCTGTATCTTTGCTGCACCCCTGGTTTCAATGGGGGGGGGGGGTTGTGGGCCAGTGCTCTACCCATAAACTATGCCCCTAGCCCCCCCTTCTATTTATTTATTTTTTCAACAGTCTCACTAAGTTGCCCAGGCTGGCTTTAAATTCTCTGTGCAGCCCACACTCATATAGTACTCTGAATCCACTTGCCTCCGACTCTCCCGTGCTGGGATTCCAGTCGTATGCTATCATGTCTGGTCCCAGCCCATAATTTCAATATTTTGTGTGCGTGGGAAGACGGGGACGGAATCCAGGACTGCTGGTGTGCTAACAAAGCGAGTGCTTCAACACTGGCTTCTCCCTCCCCACCCCCACCCCTGCTTTTTTTTTTTTTTGAAGGTTTATCTTGGTTTTTTGAAATAGTCTATGTAGCCCTGGCTGTCCTGGAACCCACTATGTGGACCAGTCTGGCCTTGAACTCACAACATCAGACTGTCTCCCAAATGCTCAGATTAAAGGCATGCACCACCAAGTCTGGCTGATGCTATTTTTAACCCTGCCTGTGTGTGTGCTTTGGTGTAGGTGTGTGCACTTGAGTGGGGAGTTTGGAATTGCCCTGGGCCTGGGGTTGCAGGTGACTGACCTGTAAGGACCCGTCCTCCCGATGTGGGTGCTGGGAACAGAGCTCAGGTCCTCTGCCAGAGAAACAAGCACTGTTAACCACTGAGCCACCCCGGTATCCATCACCTCCAGTTCCTTCATGTTTTCCAGTCTCTGAATCGCTATTTAATTAAGACGGAGCATAGTGGCACAGGTCTTTTATCCCAGCACTTCGGAGGCAGAGGCAGGGGGGATCTCTGTGAGTTCAAGGCCCAGCCTGATCTACATAGTGAGTTTCAGGACAGAAAGGACTACATGGTAAAACCTGTCTCAACATAAAGTTAGAAGCTATTTTCTTTTTTTTTTTTTTTTTTTTTTTTTTGGTTTTACGAGACAGGGTTTCTCTGTATTGTTTTGGAGTCTGTCGGTCCAGCCCGGCCTCGAACTCACAGAGATCCGCCTGCCTCTGCCTCCCGAGTGCTGGGATTAAAGGCGTGCACCACCATCGCCCGGCTAGGAGCTATTTTCAAGGTATTTGGATTAACATGAGAAACACTCATGTCCTTGAACCCCACGTAAAACCCTGAACAAAACACTGTGGATACAGCATATCATTAACCCTATGTGCTCCAACTACACTGGTCTCTGGGGGAGGGAGGTGCGGGGAAGTTTTCTGTTTCCACTACACCACCCCCCTTCCGGCTCCTCCTTTCAATATGCGTTAAACTTAAAGTCCAAACACCACTGTGTGGAGACTCTGGCTTAAATGAGGATGGTAGCCTCTGCCCATTGGATCGGAGGTAGCCTGGCCTCTCACAGATGAGCCCTCAGCATCGGGTGGGCGTGGCGTCGCCATGGAGACGTCTGCGGAATTGGCCAACACCGGGCTGTTTCCAGACACGTGGACTTGGCTGGTTCCGGATTCTTCCGGCCACGGAGGAAGCCGAACGTCTACGCCTTGGGTTGGTTCAGCTGACGGCGGAAGGGAGGTTCACATCGTGAGAAGGACGCAGGGCTCTGCTACCCGTTCTGGGCTCCTGGGAGCTTTTCCTTGCAGCCTTCCGGATTTCCTGAGAGACCTTCCTCTGTAAATAAAACTGCATAGATTGAGCTTTTTGAGATAAGGTCTCATTTATATAGCCCAGGCTGACTTGCAAACTCTGCAGCCTGAGCCTCCCCAGTGCTGGAATGACAGGCATGCTGTCATACCCAGAGTTCTCTGAGCTCTTCGCCTGGAGACAGAGGTCTCTATGCTGTGGTCTTCCTCCAGCCCTGTCCTAGCAACAGCACGAAGCCTAAGGGGTCAACTGTTTAAAGATTTTTTTAATTATGTGTATGCATGTGCACCTGGGTGCAGTTTCCCCTGAGCCAGAAAAGACAACAGGATCCCCTAGAGCCCAAGTTGCAGGCAGCTGTAGCTACTTAGTCTCCGTTGCTGGGAACTGAACTCAGAGAAGCAAACACTCTTAACCACGGACCTAATTTCTCCAGCCCTGTAAGGGGACATCTCTCTTGAGAATTTTGACCCCTTATGGGAATTCACACCATTAAGATCCTTCAGTTTCCTCCCAAAACACAGCACCAAAGACAGATGAAATGTTACCAGTTTGTGACTTTGACTAAAAAACAATGCCAGAGTGTGGTGACTGACGCATTCCTGTCTGTGGTCCCAGTACTCAAGAAGCCAAGGCAGGAGCATCGCCGTGAGTTCAAGTCGAGCCTGGACTACATTTCATACATGTTGGATAAAATATCCATGCCGGCACCCCTGTATTGCACTTCTGTTGCTGTGATAAAACTTCATGGCCAAGGCAATTTATAGGTGGGAGGGACTTATTGGTCTAACAATTTATAGGCGGGAGGGACTTATTGGTCTAACAATTTATAGGCGGGAGGGACTTATTGGTCTAACAATTTATAGGCGGGAGGGACTTATTGGTCTAACAATTCTGGAGTGGCCATGGCATGGCATGGGGTGGGATATACATCAAATGGAAGACACAGTAGAAACTGAAGGCTCACACTTGACCACAAGTACAAGGCAGAGGTAGTAATCTCAAAGTGGCCGGCCTCTTTAAATTCTCAAAGCTCACCTCAAAAAACCCCAACTCTTCCAACAAGGCTACCCCCCTAAATCTCCCAACAGCACTGCCAACTGGCGACTCTATATTCAAACATCTGAGCCTGTGGAGGACATTCTGCCTGAAAGGATTAAAAACATAGCAAAAGGGTATCCACGGAGGGTCCTGCCAAGGTGTGCCCCGAAGAGAACACCCATACACAGCAGTTAGTGCAAGAGGGTTATTGTGGGGCGGAGAGGGAGTGAAGGAGTCCAAGGTTGTCCTGGAGTGAGGACATGAGAGAGGCAGACAGACGGAACAGGCAAGAGAGGAACCACAAGAGGCAAGAGAGGAGACTGTGACAGACAGGTTTTTTTGTTGTTGTTGTTTTTGTTTTGTTTTGTTTTGTTTTAGTTTTTCGAGACAGGGTTTCTCTGTATTGTTTTGGAGGCTGTCCTGGAACTCACTCTGTAGACCAGGCTGGCCTCAAACTCACAGAGATCCGCCTGCCTCTGCCTCCAGGGTGCTGGGACTAAAGGCGTGCGCCACCAATGCTAGGCCAGACGAGCACTTTTAAGGGATGTTCGGCAGCTGAGGCGCTCTGGCTGCCCAGATACAGCGGGAACTAACAGAAGGGGCATGTGGCATGAGGTAAGACCACAGCCTACTTTTGGAATTAGAGTTCCTTGTAAATCAGCTGAACTTAACTCTCTGGAAAATTCTCAGTTTTGCTCATTTGGCAGCCACAGGAGGGGAATTATATTCAAGACTGACCCTTGTCCCCGGAACTGAGGAGCCAGCATCCAAACAAGTTACCCTGGCTCAGAGGCTCCCTGGGTGGTGGCTGAAAGGTCCAAGGAAGGAAGGATAAACAAGGAAATGGGCAACTTCTGCAACAGGACGGGTTTAATCTGAGAAGACCCTTGGGAAAGCAGGTCGACGCTTACAGACTAGGGGTAGACACAGACTTGGGGGAAGTGGAGATGGGGTTCAGAAACTTCTGTTGCCAGGAGTGATGGAAGAGTAGAAAAGTCAAGAGTCGAAGAGGCAGAGTCGTGAGCAGTGACTGAAGTTGGCCAGGTGATCGCAAACATCTCCAAGGGGGCAAGGGATGTCCAGCATCTAAATAATAATAATAATAATAATAACCCTAGAATGCTGGTTGCTTGGGTTTGGGAAAACTGCCCATTTAAACGAAAGGGAGAAGATTTTCTTTTTTTTTTTAAGATTTATTTATTATATATACAGTGTTCTGGCATGTTTACACCAGATCTCATTACAGATGGTTGTGAGCCACCATGTGGGTGCTGGGAATTGAACTCAAGACCTCCGGAAGAGCAGCCGGTGCTCTTAGCCTCTGAGCCATCTCTCCAGCCCCTGGAGAAGATTTTCAAAATGGTGTGGGTGTGGCCAACAGTGACCTTTATTTCTACAGATCCGTAGATAGAAGGGGGCGGGGTCTGTGGTTCAGGTAGTTTCTTGCTGCTGGATGGCAGCCTCCTCCGGGGGAAGTCTCTTGTACTGGGACTCTCGAAGCAGAAGGATCCTGTCCACGTGCCCTTTGGTAGTGTTCTGAATGAAAGAACTCATTCGCTGGGATACAAAGTGAGTCAAGCAGTTAAGAAGACACGGTCCAAAAATGAGCAGAAACAGGATAAAGAGAATGGGTCCTATGAAGGATGTCAACCAGGAGGGCAGCCAGTATCCCAGCTCCAGCCCCTGGATCCAAGAGCTGGACGTTGGGCGGAGTTCGGATGCTCTTTCTCGAAGTTTCCTTGCTGCATCCCGGACTACTCCGGACTGGTTTACATAGAAGCAGCACTCTTCGCGGAGGAAGAGGCAGGTGCCCCCTTTCTCGGCGGTGATGAGGTCCAGAGCCCTACGGTTTTGGAGAACGACCCCCGCCAGCGAGTCTATTTGGTCCTGGAGGGTGATAACGGAGGTGGCTATTTCGTCTAGGCTGTCCGAGAGAGCCTTCGAAAGCTGTTGGAAGTAGATGGTTGAGGTGGTGATGCCAGCGATGCTCAACCCGAGGGCGGAAGTAATGCCCAGGCCCGCAAGAAGGGGGAGGAGGTGAAAGGCTCTCTTCCGGCGAGAAGTGGAGACCCAGGAGGGAATTGTAGCAAAAAGGGGGACAGTTACGGTTTGGTTACTGGGAAGGAGTTCAATGTCTGGGTATTGGAAGACAAGGGTGCAGACACCCGACCAATTGGCCGGGAGACAGACGTACGTCGAGCTTCCGCAGAGGAAGAAGACTCCCGAGGAGTTGAGACAAAAGGAGTACGTTAAGGAGAGAAGGTGTGAGAAGATGTTTGGAGTGATGACCCCGTTTTCCTGGACAGTGGATTCATATTCCCAGACTGAATATTGTCCAGAGAGGGCTGCCCCCATGAGGGGCTGATACTGAAAGAGTGGATAGGGATCTTTATGTCCCTGGAGTTTAATCTTGAAGTACGTGGTGTCCACAGACAGGGTGATGGGGTGAGTTGTGTTGTCTGGTTCAAACAGCGTAAGATTATAGCAGGTGCTGGACGGGAAGGAAGGGCACTGCCTCCAGGGCGTGGTTGGGTAGGTGTGACAATGGATGTCGTCTACCAGGCAGGGGTGGTAAGGCTGCCCTGAGGTTAGGGAAGGGGGTCCTGAAAAGCGCAAGGGATTTCTCCACTTAGCGCCTGGCATGGTCATTAGCTGGGCAAATGCGTAGCTGGTGGACAGATCTATGGATTGGTGGTTGGCAGACGGGGAAAGATGAAACGTGTGGTTGCAGAGAGAAGCGGAGAGGTTGCCCACGAAGGTGGCATGCCTTGAGTTCTTGAAGAAACGGGATATACAGAGAGGAGCCTGGGAGTAGAGGAGGGTCTGGGAGGAGAGCGGCCCCCATATGGGGCGCTGGGCGGACTCATAGATGTGATCTCCAGTGTATCTGGAGGAGGTAATTCGGGAGAGTATGGGAAGTATGCCTGTTAAGCTAGTGAGCTGAAGAAGAGCAATGGCCCGTCGGTCAGGATTGACGAAAGAGTCATGCGCAGTTAATGGCTGGAAATTCTGGAGGCGCCTCTCGAGGTCAGAAATAGGGTAAGGGCCGGAGAGGGTCCGGGTTGAGTATGTGATATGAAGTTTCATGGGCGAGTCTGTCCAAGTCGTTAGTGGGGCTGGGATGGCTAGAGATCGCTGGGTTTGGATGGACAAGCAGACCCAGCAGCTGGAAGACAAGGAGGAGTTAGCGTCCTTGAGTAAGCGGTGGGAGAGGTTTATGAGGGGCATCCAGCTCTCAGAATAGGCGGAGGAGTGAGAAAAGAGGAGGAGACAGAGAACCCAAGGGCGAATCATGGCTCTTCAGGGGTGGCTGGCGGTGGCGGAGGGCACAGAGACCTGAGGACTCGTAAGTCCAGCCCGTCTGTCACTTAGTGCAGGAGCGGCTGAAGTCAGGCAATCTCCAGGTTGGGAGGGTTTTGCTTATGGAGGTCAGATCTGTGAGAGCAGAAACACAAACAGGGGAGGGTTAGAAGCCTTAGATCAGGGCCTGGAGCCAGATTCCCTTCACTTTGGCTTCTGTCACAACCCCCGAGTGTGGCCTTGGGCTACCTTGTGGCTACTGTGGCCTGATAGTGGCCTGGTTGAGTTTGTAGATTAATTTGCAATTAATTATAGGTGTCTCCTGTGGCATAAGAGAGCCCCTCTCTTGCCAAATGAAGGCATGAGAATGGAGGGCGTGATGAGTGTATTTGGAGTCAGTGTAGACACCACCAGCCTTTTGATTTTGTGCCAGTGTCAGGACCCTGGTAAAGGTGATGGCCTCTGCCTGCCTTGAGGTGATGTTGGGGACAGGGGCTCAAAGGTGGTCAATGGTATAGCCTTAAAGAGTGCCAATTATGGGGTCCTCAGCAATAGGATATTAGGGTTGGGGTTAGGGTTAGAAAGTAGCAAGGAGCCAGAGGGATCAATGAAAGAATGGGGGTCCCCTGTAGGGCTAAAGTCTACAGGGGGAAAGTGGGCAGATTAAGAGTTTCATAACAGCCGGGCGTTGGTGGCGCACGCCTTTAATTCCAGCACTCTGGAGACAGAGGCAGGCGGATCTCTGAGTTGGAGGCCAGCCTGGTTTACAGGACAACCAAGACTACAGCGAGAAACCCTGTCTCAAAAACCCAAAAATAAATAAAACAAACAACAGTTTATCTATCTGTTAAATGCAGGAGAAGAGAACAGGGAGCTCAAGGAGATTGTGGAGGTGGAGACAGTAATAGGTGGGTAAATGGTAATTTGAGAGCTTCTGTTGTTAACGGGAGGCACCCCAAGGGTTTTCAAGGAAGAAGGGCAGCCCTGGACCACCAAGTCGAACCCCTTATATAGACACACAGTCTCCATGACCCTGGCTGAGGACACCTAGGGCTGAGCTAAGGATGAAGGTACAAAGCGAGGTTTGGAGGGGTGTGGATGTCCTGAGGCAGGAGCAGTGGTACAGGCCTCTGAGCACAGAGAATGAGCTTGAGGAGGTTGTGGGGGGCAGAGGCTCTGTGAGAGGACCACCAGAAGCCTGGCTTACTGAGACCCCGAAGTTGGAGACCCAGATACAAAAGTAATAACCCGCTAGGCCCAGAAAGGAGGCAGGGTTTCGTGTAGCTTGGGGTTAGGGGATGGGTGCCTTTGTTTAGAGCTTTGCAGCTTTGGGGTACCCCATGGGAAGAGGAGGTTACAAGGAAGCCAAGATATGTGGCTTGGGGAGAGGCTACCTGAGCCTTGGAGGGGAACACTCAGCATCCCTGGTCAGTCACAAGAGCGGAGAGAACAGAAGTGTTGTCATTTGAAGATGCTCAGAGTGAGGCTGGGGCTTCGAAGGTCAGGACAAGGTTTGGGGACCACTGGGCAGACAGGAGTTACTAATTAAGACTAATTAGGCATACGTCCTGAACTTTCCAGTAGGGGACATCTGGCATTTGGATTGCCAGGATGGGATGCCATGGGGAGTTAGTGGGGGGTAAAATGGAGGCTTTCCGGTAGCTGATGATCACAAGTTACATCCCTGAGTTCCTTTGGAGTGAGTGGATACTGAGCCTAACAAATAAAGGCAGAAAGGGTTTTGTTGTTGTTGGTTTTGTTTCTTGAGACAGGGTTTCTGTGTAGCCTTGGCTGACCTGGAACTCGCTCTGTAGACCAGGCTGACCTCAAACTCACAGAGATCGGCCTGCCTCTGCCTCCCAAGAGCTGGGTCTAAAGGCGTGTGCCACCACTGCCCAGCAGAAAGGTCCTTCTTAAATTAGGATCATGTGGGGTAGCAATTGTGGGGGCGGTGGCTCTGATCTGAGGCGAATGGACAGGACAGCAGTGTGAGAGCAGGCCAATACTAAGAGTCCTCAGGAGGGGTTGGATCTGGGTGACATAGTCACAGAGAGGAGGCTTTGTGAAAGAATGACAATGGTGTCGCAGAACTCATCTAGAATGCCACCTCCCAAGGGAGGAATTGGGCAACCAGGAGTGACCAGGAAGGAATGGGGAAAGGAATGCCCAAATAGCCTGCAGTGCTGGTCTGTGCTGCTTAGATTTCATAGGCATGTCCTCCCCTCCCTTGGGAGGGGGAGGGAACTCATGTTGGGGTCCGGCCCAGTTCTGGTGAAACTGAATAAGCAGCCCTCCCCCAGTCCAATAAACACGATGTAATCACAGGTTACCTAGGGTCCACTGAGGGTGATAGGTGGGGGCGATGACCCCTGATCCCAGTCAGTAGTAATCAATCCCGGAGAGCTTGCCAAGCTGGAGTCCAGGCTCACATCGATTATGGGGACCTGATATAGAAAGAAGAGCGCTCTGGGCAGCTAGAGCTAAACGCAATCTGGTTGGGGTATCTTTTCTCCCCACATGGGGCAGGGGGGCAAAGTGGCTGGCGCAGGATGGGACAGGCTCTCAGAGGTGTGAGAGTCAGTCTCCAATTTTGAAGCTTCTCATATCAGATGCCCCACCCCAGCATCTGATATGAAAGGATGGGGAGCCAAAAGTTTCCAATGCCAGGAGTGGGGTGTTGAGTGGTAAGAGAATGTATGTTAGGGTGGGCATGGTGGCACACACCTTTAACCCATACACTTGGGAGGCAAAAGCACAAGGTAGCTCTCTGTGAGGTCCAGGCTAGCTGGGTCTATCTAGTGAGCTCCTCCAGATTCCAGGATACACAGTGAGACCCTGTTTCAAAAAAAAAACCAAAAAACAAAACCCAGCATGTCAGGTGGTCATAAGCGCCTCTTATGACCACTTGTTCTCAGTTGGTACTGGGAGGAATCGAGGAGAACAAGCCTGGATTAATGCAGATTAGTGTAGTTTTGGGTACTATCATTAATTCACCAAAAAATTCAAGACAACAGTGACCCAAGTACCTCTTCCTTGCAAGAATTCTTGCCAGGCACAGTGGCTCATGTGTTTAAATCCCAGCACTTAGGAGGCAGAAGCAGGCAGAGCTCCATGAGTTCAAGGCCAGCCTGGTCTACACAGCGAGCTCCAAGCCTGCTGGACTACATAGTGAGACCCTGTCTCAAACAAAGCAAAACAAAAGGAATTAGTTCCCTAGGGAGTCATAAATAACATCTTGCTCTTCATAAGATCCCAATGGCAGGGCTGGAAAGTTGGCTCAATGATTAAGAGTAAGAATTTGTTGTTCTTGCAAAGGACCCAGGTTCGATTCCCAGAACCCACATGGGGGCTCACAACCTCCACACATGTATTTGATGTATAGATGTACATGTACACAAAATGCTCACATACACAAAATAATACAAGTAAATCTTAAAAAAAATCAACCAATGACCAACCAACATATGATTCCACCAAAGGTGTCATTGGAGGAACCAGTAAGTGTTTTGGGGCTTACCTTCAGAGCATGGGTGACCCCCAAAGCAACTGCCCTGGGAAGCTTGGTCCAGCATGGATGATGGCTTCTACATGGCCTCATGGACTGAGCTTCTTCAGTTAATTCTCCCCAGTTTATATACTCTAACGTGTCCTTAGACAACACCTCTAGGCTGTATATAATTAGAGCATAGTTCTGTGGAAGGAATGGTTGGAATCTCAGGTAAGGGTCCAATGGTCCTCCCACCCCCTCCTTCTAAAAGGCAATGCGAAGAGTCAACAGGACCAGAAGTGAACAGGAGTTTCCAAAAGAAACTGCATCTCACCCTGAACCTTCTGCTGGACTGATCAGCTGTTAGGTTTGTGGTGATGCAGGAATGTTGTAGGCCAGAGCTTAATTAAAATTTCCTTGGGCTATCTTTAGCCCTCTTTTTTTTTTTTTTTCTTTTTTTTAGCCATTCCTTTCCCTGCTCTATACCTGATCTAACATTCTTGTGACTATCAGGTGAGGCGGTTTTAAAATGTATTAGCTTGGCAGGCAACTGGCTTGCTCAACCCAAAAGCACAGGGTGATTTCAGATAGCACTTGAAGCCATTAGAAGAGGATTCCCAGCTTTGCTGTATTCGGTCACTCTAATGTTTCCACCAACGTAACTGAAACAAAAATGTATCAGAGCTGGAGAGATGGCTAAGTAGTTAAGAGCACTTAATGTCGGGAGGCAGAGGCAGGTGGAGCTTGAGACCAGCATGGTCTACAGAGATCAAGTTCCAGGACAGCCAGGGCTACGCGGAGAAACACTGTCTCAGAAAACAACAACAACAAAGAGCCCTTGATGCTCTCACAACTGCTTATAACTCCAGTCCCAGAGGGATCTGATGCCCCCTTCCGGTGTCTGTAGACACCAGGCAGTCACTTGGCGCACGTACATACATGCAGACAAACACTCAAATACATAAAATAAAAAATAAATCCTTAATGATAGAAGTGTTTTGGTCTGTGACTTCCTTTGCTTTATCCCTATAAAAACTTAATGAGAGTGAGGTGATGTGGGTGTCCTTCGGTATGCTGTGAATATATATTTCTCTTATTGGTTGATGAATAAAGCCATTTCGGCTAATGGACAGACAGGGTTTAGCCTGGCAGGAAATCCAAACAGGGATGGAGAAAGGGAGTAGGCAAAGTCAGGGAGATGCCGTGTAGCTGCCCAGGAAGCAAGAGACCCGGGCATCATGGGTAAGCCAAGACCACGTGGAGATACACAGATTAATAGAAGTGGGTTAATAATTGAGAGACCTAGCCAGCCAGGTGTTAATGGCACACGCCTTTAATTCCAGCACTTGGGAGGCAGAGGTAAGCAGATCTCTGTGAGTTCAAGGCCAGCCTAGTCTGCAGAGCGAGTTCCAGGACAGGCTCCAAAGCAATAGAGAGGGAAGGAGAGAGAGAGAGAGAGAGAGAGAGAGAGAGAGAGAGAGAGAGAGAGAGAGAGAGAGAGAGAGAGAGAGCGAGCTAGTCAATAAGAAGCCTGAGCCATTGGCCAAACAGTTTATAATTAATATACACCTCTGTGTGATTATTTGGGACTGAACGTCTACAGGACAGGGGCGGGACAGAAACTTCTGTCTACAGAAGAGGGCTCCTATTCAAGCTGCTGTTGTCTTGGAAACAAAGTCCTTTTTACAGCTTTTAATTAGTTATTTGTGTACGTGTATGTGTCTAAATGTATGCCACTGTGCTGAGAACCAAATTTGGGTCCTCTGTAAGAGCAGCAAGTACTCTTAACCACTGAGCCAAGTCTCCCGCCCCTTAATTTTATTTTATTTTACTTTTACATTTTTGTGAGAGCCTCATGTAACTCAGATTGGCCTGGAACTCTCTATGTAGTCAAGAGTGACTGAATTCCTGATCCTCCTGCCTCTGCCTCCTGAGTGCTAGGATTACAGGCATGTGTCACCATGGTCAGCCATTTTTGGCTTGTGTTTTTTTAGACAGTCTTCCCATGTAGTCCAGGCTAGTTTTGAAGTCTCAGTAAACCTCCAGTCTCAACTTCTCCAGTTACTGGGATTACAAGTATGAGTCACCACACCTGGCTGACAAACAGAAAACTGATTTCCCATTATATGAATGATAGGAAGGAAAGCAGGGTTTTTTTGGAGGGGGGGTTTGCTTTTGTTTGTGTTTGTTTTTTTGAGAGGAGTGTAGTGGCTGACACTTGTAGTCCCAGCATATGAGAGGCAAAGGCTTGCCTGAGCTCCAGAGGTGACTCAAGACCACCACTGAGACTCTGTCTCAGTTGGAGTGTGATTCAGTGGTAGAGCACCTGCCTAGAATCCCCCAGTGAAGGGCTGGGGTGTGGCTTAGTGGTAGAGCACTTGCCTAGAATCCCCCCAGTGAGGGGCTGGGGTGTGTCTCAGTATCAGAGTATCTGCCTAGAATGCCCCAGTGACAGGCTAGGGGTGTGATTCAACTGCAGAGTATTTATCTAATACGTACAAAGCCTTGGGTTCTAACCACACTACCCTAGAAAAAGAAAAAAGACAGCATGTTGGAAATAGGCTAAGGCCTGGGAACATCTATATCCAAGGTCCTCTTTTATGAAATAGGAAACTAAGGGTCTGGCCTCCTCAGGTGGGCTGCTGTGCTGGTAGTCTCACATCAACTTGACACATACTAGAGTCATCTGAAAGGAGGGAACCTCAATTGAGAAACGCCTCCATAAGAGCCAGCTGTAGGGCGTTTTCTTAATTAGTGATTGATGGGGGAGGGACCAGTCCCTTTTGGGCTGGTGGTCCTGGGTTCTATAAGAAAGCAGGCTGAGCAAGCCAGTAAGCAGCTCCCCTCCATGGCCTCTGCAGCAGCTCCTGCCTCCATGTTCCTGCCATATTTGAGTTCCTGTCCTGACTTCCTTAGATGATAAGTGTGATGTGGAGGTATAAGCCAAATAAACCCTTCCCTCCTTGCTTTTTTTAAATTGGTTTTTCGAGACAGGGTTTCTCTCTGTAACAGTCCTGATTGTCCTGGAACTCACTCTGTAGAACAGGCTGTCCTGGAACTCGCTCTGTAGAAGAGGCTGGCCTGGAACTCACAGAGATCTGAGTGCTGGGACTAAAGGCATTCGCCACCCTGCCTGACCCCAGCTTGCTTGCTGGTGTTTCATTGCAGCAATAGAAACCTTAACTAGCTGGGCATTGGTGGCACATGCCTTTAGTCCCAGCACTCGGGAGGCAGAGGCAGGCGGATCTCTGTGAGTTCCAGGCTAGCCTGGTCTACAGATCTAGTTCCAGGAAAGCCAGACCTACACAGAGAAACCCTGTCTCAGACAAACCAAAGCAAGAAAATAAAACAAAACGAAAAAGCAAAGATAGGGAAGCCCCAGTCAGATCGGCTTTCTAGACTAGAACAGCTCAAGTGCAATGTGATGATGGTGGACAGGGGCCCTGTAGGGACCAGTGCTCACAGGCTGAGCGAACTCTGTAGGGACCAGTGCTCACAGGCTGCGCGAACCCTGTAGGGACCAGTGCTCACAGGCTGAGCGAACTCTGTAGGGACCAGTGCTCACAGGCTGAGCGAACTCTGTAGGGACCAGTGCTCACAGGCTGCGCGAACCCTGTAGGGACCAGTGCTCACAGGCTGCGCGAACCCTGTAGGGACCAGTGCTCACAGGCTGCGCGAACCCTGTAGGGACCAGTGCTCACAGGCTGCGCGAACCCTGTAGGGACCAGTGCTCACAGGCTGCGCGAACCCTGTAGGGACCAGTGCTCACAGGCTGCGCGAACCCTGTAGGGACCAGTGCTCACAGGCTGCGCGAACCCTGTAGGGACCAGTGCTCACAGGCTGAGCGAACCCTGTAGGGACCAGTGCTCACAGGCTGAGCGAACCCTGTAGGGACCAGTGCTCACAGGCTGAGCGAACCCTGTAGGGACCAGTGCTCACAGGCTGCGCGAACCCTGTAGGGACCAGTGCTCACAGGCTGAGCGAACCCTGTAGGGACCAGTGCTCACAGGCTGCGCGAACCCTGTAGGGACCAGTGCTCACAGGCTGCGCGAACCCTGTAGGGACCAGTGCTCACAGGCTGCGCGAACCCTGTAGGGACCAGTGCTCACAGGCTGCGCGAACCCTGTAGGGACCAGTGCTCACAGGCTGCGCGAACCCTGTAGGGACCAGTGCTCACAGGCTGCGCGAACCCTGTAGGGACCAGTGCTCACAGGCTGCGCGAACCCTGTAGGGACCAGTGCTCACAGGCTGCGCGAACCCTGTAGGGACCAGTGCTCACAGGCTGCGCGAACCCTGTAGGGACCAGTGCTCACAGGCTGCGCGAACCCTGTAGGGACCAGTGCTCACAGGCTGCGCGAACCCTGTAGGGACCAGTGCTCACAGGCTGCGCGAACCCTGTAGGGACCAGTGCTCACAGGCTGCGCGAACCCTGTAGGGACCAGTGCTCACAGGCTGCGCGAACCCTGTAGGGACCAGTGCTCACAGGCTGCGCGAACCCTGTAGGGACCAGTGCTCACAGGCTGCGCGAACCCTGTAGGGACCAGTGCTCACAGGCTGCGCGAACCCTGTAGGGACCAGTGCTCACAGGCTGCGCGAACCCTGTAGGGACCAGTGCTCACAGGCTGCGCGAACCCTGTAGGGACCAGTGCTCACAGGCTGCGCGAACCCTGTAGGGACCAGTGCTCACAGGCTGCGCGAACCCTGTAGGGACCAGTGCTCACAGGCTGCGCGAACCCTGTAGGGACCAGTGCTCACAGGCTGCGCGAACCCTGTAGGGACCAGTGCTCACAGGCTGCGCGAACCCTGTAGGGACCAGTGCTCACAGGCTGCGCGAACCCTGTAGGGACCAGTGCTCACAGGCTGCGCGAACCCTGTAGGGACCAGTGCTCACAGGCTGCGCGAACCCTGTAGGGACCAGTGCTCACAGGCTGCGCGAACCCTGTAGGGACCAGTGCTCACAGGCTGCGCGAACCCTGTAGGGACCAGTGCTCACAGGCTGCGCGAACCCTGTAGGGACCAGTGCTCACAGGCTGCGCGAACCCTGTAGGGACCAGTGCTCACAGGCTGCGCGAACCCTGTAGGGACCAGTGCTCACAGGCTGCGCGAACCCTGTAGGGACCAGTGCTCACAGGCTGCGCGAACCCTGTAGGGACCAGTGCTCACAGGCTGCGCGAACCCTGTAGGGACCAGTGCTCACAGGCTGCGCGAACCCTGTAGGGACCAGTGCTCACAGGCTGCGCGAACCCTGTAGGGACCAGTGCTCACAGGCTGCGCGAACCCTGTAGGGACCAGTGCTCACAGGCTGCGCGAACCCTGTAGGGACCAGTGCTCACAGGCTGCGCGAACCCTGTAGGGACCAGTGCTCACAGGCTGCGCGAACCCTGTAGGGACCAGTGCTCACAGGCTGCGCGAACCCTGTAGGGACCAGTGCTCACAGGCTGCGCGAACCCTGTAGGGACCAGTGCTCACAGGCTGCGCGAACCCTGTAGGGACCAGTGCTCACAGGCTGCGCGAACCCTGTAGGGACCAGTGCTCACAGGCTGCGCGAACCCTGTAGGGACCAGTGCTCACAGGCTGCGCGAACTCTGGACCCTGCCAATGGCCTGGTGGCCAGCAGCACCAGCAGTAGCAATGCCTCCTAGAAAATGTATGTGTCAGGGCTGGAGAGGTGGCTCTGAGGTTAAGAGCACTGGCTGCTCTTCCAGAGGACCTGAGCTCAATTCCCAGCAACCACGTGGCTGCTCTTGCCAACCATCTGTAATGAGATCTGGTGCCCTCTTCTATCCTTTGGGGATACATGCGGACAGAGCACTGTATACACAATAAGTAAATAAAGGGGCTTCTTCCCCTCCAAACACACCGCGGACGGGTGTTCAAGTTCAGATCTGCCTTCCCGCTGCACTGCAGAGTGGACAGGCTGCTGTGACTGAGGGCGGGGCAGGTACAGAGGGCACCGCCAGGGCCTCAGCAGGAGACCACAGGACTGCAAGGAATAGTGATGAATCTTGTTTACCCAGGAAGCCTCTCGCATGGTGGCTATCCCAAGACTTCTGCCTTCTCTGTCCTGCCCTCTAACCAGCCTCAGGCTGTGGGCACTGGGGCCTCCCGGTCCTCACCTCTGCTGAAATGGGCCAACTCTCCAGAACCTCGCCCCCTCCCCATCCTGTGTGTGCCTTAGGCCGCAGCCCTTACCCCACTGCATGGTTTAGTCCCCCTCTGTGACAAATGGGGACATGGCAGCACCTCCCCCAACAGGAATCTGGGGCGACAAAGCGAGATAACCTTTTGTTGTTGTTGTTCTAGAACTTTTCATATACTGACAACCTGGTAAGTTGTAAGTAGCATCACGCTCCCCACCCTATCCTCATTGCCCCCCATGCTCCACAACCTGAATTCCACCTGCTGAAGTTTTAATTACCTACAGCCAACTACCATAGTCCCAGAGAATTGAAATGGAAACTTCTAGAAATTACAAACATGTAACCTCATAATTTAGTAGGTAGAGACAGGAAAAGTGAAAATTTGAGGTCAACTTGAGCTATTTCTGTGCCGTTTTAAGTAGCATGATGGGATATTTTGCAGTCCCTGTCTAACCATCCATCTTATCTGGGTTGTGAATTATCCCTTTGTTGAGTGTTTCCATGGTGTATAACCTACCCTCCTGTTAAGTCTAACTGACTAAGCCTTCATATCCTATTGACTGATGTGCAGGGTTTCTACACTGTATACACAACCCTGTTAGGAACCTCAGTTATCAAGTGAATGGCTACCTAATGTCTCTGATATGTTAGCCCCCCAGGAAAGAAAAAAAGCTAGGGGTCCACCCAGATTGGTGACAGGTCCCAAGTACCCACCAATTATTTGCATAGCCTTGCTCTGAGACAGGGACCACACTGTAGCACTTGTGTCCTGAGGTAGGGTGGGAGGGGTAACACTATCAGTACACAAATGGGTGTACTTGAAGTGGGGGATCTGGTCTCTGTTCCAGAGAGAGAGAGAGAGAGAGAGAGAGAGAGAGAGAGAGAGAGAGAGAGAGAGAGAGAGAGAGTGCATAGACAGCTTCAGACCAACAGAGGGCAGACTGGGGTAGCCAGTGAGGGGGTACTTAGACTCTAGGAAAATCCAGGTCTCTGAAGTCAGTGGACCACAAGCTCAGGAGCCCTCACTTGCCAACGAAATTTACTTTCACTGTGCCTTGAACTCTGTCTTTTACTTCTTTAATTTGTGGAGGAGAAGAACTTGAGCCTTGAACTGCAACATATCCACACAGTATGTGCTACCCTCCTGCTAGTCATTCTGTGGGTGTCTATTATCAGACCCACTGCCTCGGTACCATAGTGTTTCGTTTTATTGTTAATCTCTGCAGTGCTTAATTTATAAATTACCCCAAGGTATGTATTTTTTTAAAAAGGATATATGGGGTGTCTTAGTTAAGGCTTCTATTGCTGTGAAGAGACACCCTGACCGTGACAACTCGAATAAAGGAAAACGTTTAATTGGGGCGGCTTACACTTTCAGAGGTTTAGTCCATTGTCATCGTGGGGTGACACGGTGGTGTGCAGGCAGGCACCCTGCTGGAGGAGAGTCCTACATCTCTACTCAAGGCAACAACGGGAAGTGGCCTGCTTCGCTGGGTATGGCTTGAGCATATAAGAGACCTCAAGCCCGCCTGCACAGTGACACACTTCCTCCAACAAGGCCACACCTCCTAACGGTGCCACGCCCTTGGGGCTATTTTCTTCCAAACCACCACACCACGGGGTTTGGTGTGACTCTTAGAAAGTAACAAAGGACAAAAGAGTATGCGTTAGTTAAAAACAACAACAGAACTTAAGCGGGGAAGGGTTTATCTTGGTCTGGTTTGAGGGCAAACAGCCCATCACCGCACAAAAATTGCAGGAACACGAGGCCGGGTCCCATCACCGTGCAGTCAGGAAGCAAAGAGAGACTACTGCTGGTGCTACATGACTCACTTTCTCCTCTTCGTTCAGTTCGGGACCTCATCCCGAGATGCTGCTCAAACTCAGTGTGAGCCTTCTTACCCCCATGAATTCAGTCCGGAAGCCCCCTCGCAGACAAGCCCAGAGTTCTCTCCGGGTGATTCTAGCCTTGTCAAGCTGGCAATCAGGATGGTGTCTGTGTAGGAGATGATGACGGCAGGAGGTCTCAGGGATGCAGTGACCACTGCTCTCCCTGAGCCAGGACTGCCAGGGACAAATTAGTTTCAGAGAGCGGAAGTGAGGCTCCAGCCAGGCTGGGCTCCCTGGGAGAGTGTCTGCACATTCCAGGAGCCCACACAGCTGGAACCAGGCTGGCTCAGGCCCTCTATGGAGCAACACCCACACGATTGATTCATCACCCCCAGCCCTGACAGCTACATCCTCTTAGTTTGCCCAGGCAGGCTCCATGCTGACCCCCTGCCCCCTACACCCCCCCAACCCATCCCCCTTCCCCGTGTACCACCTTTCCCTCCTCCCCTTATAGCCCACAGCCTGCAGGACACGAAGGGAGGGCCGGTCAAGTACAGGGCTTCCAACAGTCCCTAGTGCCTCTCTCCTCCCCTAAACCAAGAACACTCTCTCTCTCTCTCTCTCTCTCTCTCTCTCTCTCTCTCTCTCTCTCTCTCTCTCTCTCTCTCTCTCTCTCTCTCTCTCTCTCTCTCTCCCCCCAGGGGGTGGGGGGAAACACGAAGCCTGGGCCACAGCAGGCCAGATTCTAGCACATTCCCAGATGGTCCTTTTAAAGCTGGGAACTTCCTGTTTTGTTTCCCATCCACATTTGTTATTTTTTTAAATTTGAGTCAGGCCTGGTCTACAAAATGAGCTCCAGGACAGCCAAGACTGTTACACAGAGAAACCCTGTCTCAAAAAAAAAAAAAAATCAAAACAAAAATTTGAATCAGAGTTACAGTTTGTAGCCAAGGCTGGCCTGGTATTCTCTCTATAATCCAGACTAGCTTGGAACTGGAAGCCTCAGCTCTCCAGATTGCTGGGATTACAGGCATTAACCACCATGCCTACCAATTCCGATAATGTTTCTAAATCATGATTTCCCTTCCCATAAAACAACAACAGCAAAAAGTTCCATGGTACCAACTCTGTGAGGCCACTTTGAAAATGAGGGACATCTGGAATACTTTTATTTGAACCAAAATTAAAATTGAAACCAGGGATGGATCGATGGCTGGGCAGAGCATGTGCTGCTCTTGCAGAGGACCTGAATTGAGTTCCCAGCACCCAGGTCTGGCAGCTCACAGCTGCCTGTGATTCCAGCTCAAGGGCATACAACGCCCTTTTCTGTCCTCTGTGGGTGCGTGCACTCACTTGGCACACACACACACACACACACTCACACTCACACAAACATAAAAGTAAAATAAATCTTTTTTAAAAAGTAGGGCATGGTAGCATACATATAATCCAATTACTCAGCAAACAGAAACTGGAAGATCATGAGTTCAAAGCCAGCCTGGGCTTTATTGAGATCCTGTCTCAAAAAAGAGGGGAGGAGGCAAGGACACATGTAATTCTACCACTTAGGTGAAGGCAGGAAATTCAGGAGTTCAGGATCATCCACAGCTACATAGTGAGTTCAGGGTCAGCCTGGGCTACATGAGACTCTCTCAAAGTAAATAAATAAATAAAATGAAAATTGTGCTTGTGGGTGATGAGGTGGCTCAGCAGATAAAGGAATCTGCCGCCAACCCTGGCCGCCTGAGTTCCATCCCTGGGACCCACAAGCTGTCCTGTGCCCTCCACTTGAGTGCCAAGTCTCAAGTTCACAGGAACACACACTAAATAAATAAACAATCCCCATAAACTGCCAGGCCACGGCCAGCCCTTGCCCTCTGACCCTGCATTTCCTCTGCCTTGGGAAAAATGACCTCCTCCCTACATATCCCCCACCACCCTCTAGCTACACAATGTTCTGACTTGATTATACTATTTCAGAACAATTAATAAAAGCCTTGGTAGCCGGGCGTTGGTGGCGCACGCCTTTAATCCCAGCACTCGGGAGGCAGAGGCAGGCGGATCTCTGTAAATTCGAGACCAGCCTGGACTACCAAGTGAGTTCCAGGACAGCCTCCAAAGCCACAGAGAAACTCTGTCTCGAAAAACCAAAACTAAACTAAACTAAAATATAAAAGCCTTTGGTGTGTGTGTGTCCAACTTGTAATCTCAGCACTTGGGAAGCTGAGGCAGGAGGATTGCCTCAAGTTAGGGTAAATGGGGACTGCCAGGCATAGCGGTTGACATCTTTAGTCCCAGGATTTGGGAGGCAGAGGCAGGTGGGTCTGTGATTGGGAGGCTGCATGGGGAAACTGTATCAATAAAACAAAAGCAAACGTTTTGAGCTGGGCCAGCATTAAGAGCACTGCTTACACCTCCAGATGACCAGAGAATGGTTCCCAGCACCCACATGGCGGCTCACAACCGCCTGTAATCCCCAGCTCCGGGGAATCCCACGCCCTCTTCTGGCCTTCAAAGGCACTGTGCACAAGTGGCACACAGACACCAGGGCAAAACACACACATTAAATAAATATCAAAAAACAAAAAATTTAATAAGGGCTGTGATTGGAGCTCAGTGGGTAGTGTGCTTGTCTACCAGGCAGGAAGCCCTGGGTTCCGCACCAGCACCCCAGACCTGGGAACAAAGGGTGCATGTCTATAATCCCACACCCAGCAGAGATGGAGCAGGAGGATCTGAAGTTCAAGGTCATTTTCAAATCTGAGTTCCAGGTCAGTTTGGACTACATGACACTCAGTCAAAACAACAACAACAAAACAGTTTTAAAAGAATAGGAAAGGACTGGACAGATGGCTCAGAGGTTAAGGGCACTGATTGCTCCTCACGAGGACCAGGGTTCAATTCCCAGCACCCACATGGCAGTTCGCAACTGTCTGTAATTCCAGTTCCAGGGGACCTAACACCCATGGCAAAACTCCAATGCACATAAAAACAAAAAATAGGACTGGTTGGTGGCTGAGCACGACTTTAATCCCAGCACTCGGGAGGCAAAGGCAGGTTAGATCTTTGTGAGTTTGAGGCCAGCCCGGTGTACAGAGAGAGTTCCAGGACAGCCACAGAGAAACCCTGTCTCAAAAAAACATAAGTAAATTTAAAAAAATAGCAAAATTAGCTAAAGGAAAAGAAAACAAGGAAGTTTTGGGTTCCTCTGGAAACAGACCTGTGAACACAGCTTGGTGGTCTAATTCCAGGAAATGGCCAAGAAATACAGAAAACGCCACAAAAAATCTCTGGCCTCTGGTCTCCCTGACCGCAGTCCCTCAAAATTCCATACAGGGGGTGACAGCAACCAAAAGATTAAACCACCTCTGGTCCCTACCAGCTGGCTGACCTGGGTTTCTTCCCTTCTAAGCTTGGCCTAGAAACTCATATTTTATTCATGAAAACTGAGGTCCTGGGAGGCCTTGGCATAAACAGGATGTAAATATTTGCGGGCAGTTGAAGGAGCGGTGATATCTGAGCAGGGGCTGGCTGTCCAAAGCTGGGGCGCTGAGACACCGCTTACTTGGGGACCCGCCCACCTCCTCCTCCGTTACAGGTGGAGGGTGGAGGATTGAGCCAGAGGTACTGGTGTACTGCTGTCCAGTGTTGGGGTGCTCGGAGCTGGAGCTCAGGTTTGCGATTCCAGTGTCCTTGAAGCGAACTCCGGGATACTGTTGAACCCTCTCTTGCATTCTGTCCTAGCCCCCCTTACTCACCCCCCCGCCCGGGGCTCCTCCATTCCCCTTCCCCCAGCTGATTCAGATTCTCAACTGTTCTTGTCGAATGCCTTGTTCCCACCCCTCAGTATCTCCCTTTGGTGTCCCTAAGCCCGTGTAGAGTGTGGGATGTGTGTGTGAGTGTGTGTGTGTGTGTGTGTGTGTGTGTGTGTGTGTGTGTGTGTGTGTGGTGGGTATTCTAGGCAACAGAGCTCTACCATGGAACTATGAGTCCCCCCCTTTTTTTTTTTTTTTTACTTTTTTCTTTCTTTTTTCCTAGGTCTTACGTAGTCCAGGCTGTCCTGGAACTCACATCCCAAGTGCTACAATTATAGTTTTGGCCACCATGCCACAACCTGGCAAGGAGGAACGGCTTTATCCTGAATCTTGGCCGCTGCCCGTGTCAGCTGTGGGAACTCCGACTCAAAGTCCCCAAGGTCTCTCCCAGAGCGGGCAGTGATGCCTACAGGACCAGTATGCCCACATCTATGTTTTGCGGCTAGCTTCACTCAGCTAGCCTTTCTGAGGTTAACCTGACCTGGCTGCGAGCTTCCTGGGGACACCGGTGGCCTGGGACATGCGGAGGAGGCTGTCCCACGCCTTTGATCCCAGCACTCGAGAGGCAGAGGCACTGCCAGGTCTGCACCATGTCTGAGTCACCCCTCCCTCAGTCTCCTTCAGAGACATTCCCAGTCACAACCGTTAAGTAGGTCACAAGGTGGCTTTGGGCTTTCTGCGTCGGCATCCAAAAAGGACTCAACAGGGACATCATCCCAGATGTCACTTTGAAAAGAAATGGGAAATGATCAGAAGGGGAAGTTCCTGGTCTGAGCATCCTGGTATAAGGTCCTGGTTGGTATACCGTCCACCCCACCACAGTACGCTAGATGGAGGGAACAGGAAGGGGAGGGTTACCCACAGCCATCCATGGCTCAGGCTTCACAGGAAGCTGACCCTATTTTTAGACAGGGTCTCATGTAACCCAGGCTAGACCCCAAGTCCCGATAAGCTAAGGATGGCTTTGAACTTCTGGCCCCTGCACCCACCTCATGAGTCCTGGGATTGCAGTCATCTTCATGCCCTGTTTATACAATGCTAAGGATTGAACTCGGGTGACAGGGGAGGTCAATGGAATGTGGAATAATATAATATATTTATTTACTAGAGAAAGAATTTACACACAAGCTGAAAGGTCAGAAGCATGGCAGGCTTCCAAAGAGAGAGAGTTTTCTTTTCCTTAAATATCCCACCTGCGCTAGCTAATCTCCCTATCTCCGCCCTTTTGGGCGTGGAGAGATTTGTGGGCTCACCCCTACACTCGGGATTTGTGATGCGAGGCGTGCACTCTGCCAACTGAGCTACAGCCCCATCTCTATTTGCTATATGATTTAGCCCCCATACTCCTCTGTACCTTGGGTTTTGTTGTTTGGCTTTGCTGCTGTCCTGAGATAGCCTTACTTTGTAGCCCAGGCTAGTCTGGACTCCACAGGCAATCCTTCA